CCGGAAGCCCCCCAACGAGGGGCCAGACTTCCCCGACGAAAGCCAAGAGCAAAGAGGGCGTGGTCGAGCTTCGATTAAAAGGTTTTAAAAGTGGTTCGGGAGGAGAAGCCCCGAAAATTTTGACAATTTAAGGATTTAAAATTCTTATTTAATCGATTTTAGAGTCTACTAAATATGTATAAAATACATATAATTTTTTTCTCCCCGACGAATTGTGCTTTTTTCCCCCTGGCGCAACCCCGAATTTGACCTCAGTAATTCGAGTCGTTGACCCTTCAATTTGTTTCTATTGGTCATTGTGAACAAGGCTCAAGTAAGTTTAGTGTTATTGAAATAAAATAATAAAATAATAATATTAATAATGAATAATATACATACATATATAATACCACCAGTAGTAGTAGTATTTAACGAGAGCATCAATGGTGCAATAGCCCACTTGACAATAGCTGGCAATGTTTAAGTGCTGTCGGTGGGTGAAGGTTGTGTGGAGTGTTGTTACATGTATTGAGCATAAAAAAAACCCGTTTAAAGTTATATTAGTTGTATGCATCATCATAGACCTTTTTTGTTAGGAAAGGTGTGATGTCGTGTGCAGTGATATTAAAGGAAATATGGTTGTTGTAGTGATTGTTGTGTACGTATGTTTGTGAAATATTTTGTACTGTAATTATAAAGATATATATGTAGCGGTTTATGATTTAAGTTGACAGTTTGGTGAGTGAATGGAATTTGTTGCACAGAAGTAATAATAATAATAATAATAATAATTGCAATATTAATAATAATAATTGCTATATTAACAGTGGCGGATCCAGGAATTCGAAATAAAGGGGGGCAGGGAGGGACTTTCACAAAGAAAAGAGTCTTAACCACATCAGCCCCAGCCCCACTATGGCTGGGGCTGAGGTAAGAACATTTATGATTATGGCAGTTGATGGGCGGAAATGGCACTCTCAGCCATAAATTTGATTAAAAATTCTCCTTTTTTTATCCATTTCTTTGAAAAATTTAAGGGGGTGGGTTTTTGTAATTATCATGCAACAACATATAGTCATGGCCTTAAATGTAAAAACCACGAAACTGTGGAATTATACATGAAAAAGTAGCCATTGATTTAATATTTAATGGTATATCGCATTACAAAATCAATGGATATTTTTTTATGACCAATGTACTGACGACATAAGCCCATAGTTTTGTACATTAAAATATATGAAATACGAATATGTAGGCTAATGTAAATCAATTATGTATTCATTACGGTATAGATATCCAGCGTTCATGCGTATCTATCAAATTCCCTGTATATAAATTATTAACTTTACTTTAGTATAGCTTTGGACTATAAAATATTAAATGAAAAACCGGTTTGGTATGACTGTATTGTAGACACTATTAAAAAACAACAACAATTAAATATGTGTATTAGGACGATTCAATATTTTATGATCCGAAGTTCAATGATGATGATAATATTAATTAAGATAATACATAAAAGCATGGTCATGAAAATGATAATTATGATGAGGGTCATTGTAATAGTAATAACAATAATAAATTAATAATAATAATAATAATAATAATAATAATATAATCAAGATGATAATCATACGGTAATGATTATAATGATGATGATGTATAGATGATGATGAAGAAGATGATAATAATTAGGATGGCGATGACGATGTTAATGGTGATGGTGATGTTGATATTCATGCCAATGATGATGATGATGATAATGTCGATGATGATGATGATGACGATGATGTGATGATGATGATGATGATGATGACGGTTTCAACGTTATGTTGAGATGAAATATATTAACACGGTTTAATTCAAATACAACGATACGCAAGACCATTTTAAGTATCGACTAACACTCTATGATTCGTATGGCTGACTGGCAATACATTACGTGACCTCGGCTTCTAAATTAATCTATGCATTATTATAATGAAATGCGAAATGCTTAGCGATCAGAGAGCTGTGAGCTAGTCAAACTATTTGAAAATAACGTTAATTAAAATACGGTACAGTCGTCTGAATGGCTTGCAAAGGCGGTGATATTGCCTATAAGCGGGAGAGAATGTACCTGACAAGATGATGTATGGTAGGCTACAGTCAGTCTGGGTATAATCTGGATGTTAAAACACATTTGAATAAATGTATAAGCGCTGTCATAAACTACGAACATTCTACCGCATATTACAAACGGGTATGGGAAGATTATATCAACATATAATATCGAAACATAGTTTATCATAAATGTATATTTTTAATTATACATTCATTTACTTGTTCTAACATAGTACAAAAAGTTCAAAAGTTCTCCAAATGGCCGACTGGATCAACAGAAGTATAAAACAACTTGTCAAGTTGCTCTCTAAAACCCTTTGAGAAAACACAATAAAAACATTTAAACTGGGTAGATTTTATGAAACAAAAAATTATATAAAATATCAATATTTTATAAACTCTAAAACCATAAAAAAAGGAAAAATGATAATGCTTATCAATAAAAATGTGAATATTAAATTTGTCAATTGTCATTCATTTGTTTGTAAGTAGGGGAGAAAAAGAATATGAATTGAGAACATGTTTTAAAGTTCGATAGGCAGATAATTTTAAAGTCTAGGACAAATTTTAAAAACAGTAAATTTACGAACAAAAAAGTTTTGCATATTCCTAAATAGTGTGTGTCAATGCGATTCACGCCATAGAACCGATTTCAGTATGGTATAAAGTGGTATGATAAAGGTATTCATAATAAATATTTGGAAATAGAAAATAAGTACTTGTGACACTTCGTTGGCTCTTTTCAAGCCTTTGAATGTGACCACATATTGATATGGGCACCAAGCAGGTACACCATGTACACCATGTTCGAATCGATCAAAGGACGGATAAGTGCAGTGTATTGTGAAAAGGTATTAAACGTTTTATAAACCCAATTATTATTTGGGATGATAGAATTAGTTCCGCTAAACCTAGGTTATAAAAGATGGTAATTCTCAGTTATTTTTATATTATATTATATTTTTGAATCGGGTTGATTCTCATACACCACATTTACTTTTGTTTGCGTTCAGCACCATTCCATTATGATGATTCGATTCACTTATACTAATTAAGTCATGCTGTAGAGTATCGTGATGTAACCTGACGGACACTAGTGCACCAGACGCTATATAGCTATTCATGTGACGGTCTAACACAAAAATATTGCACTTAGCACGGACATTAGTGTTACACCAGACGTTACCTAGCTAAGCATAATATAACGGTCTATACAAATGATTGAACTAAGCACGGACATTAGTGTTACAACAGACATTACAAAGCGAAACACAATGTAACCATATATTGACGGTCTAGTACGGTACAAACACTTGGGTACATGTACGATTATTTCTATAATACACCACATACTGCAAACGCATGCAATTATTTCATTAAGTGATTAGAATGACGCTTTAAATATCTTACATAATGATGAATTATTTCAATTTCACAATCCTCATAAATCTCCAAAGGATTCGAGTGATAGCATACGAATAGTAGTTAGAGCCATTTGTAGCAGTTGTTCGAAGCCACAAAAACCACGTCTGTACGTATAAAGCCATTAACTTTCGCAGTCATCATTCGATTCTGCGTGACATTTTTCTTAACGTCACGCCTGGCATTTTATTTGCAAGTCGCTATTGAATTCTGGGTGGTGATATCAACGTAAAATCCACACTTCATGGCAAGCTCGTGATATTTTACAGTATATTAAATCGACAGTTGATTTATGTGTGACATCAACGTCACATTACTGTTAAGCGGGAATAAATTTAATCTATGTATCGATATATATACATGATAAATATATTCATCATTTCTTAATCTTAATAAAAAAAGTAATCAAAAAGCGCAAGAAACAGAAGACGTTCCTTTAGTTCACTTTTTCGTCTTTCGTTATTTCTTGAATTTTATAAGTCTATATTTTTATTTTTTAGGAGTTTGCTATGCTGAATTTGGAGTTAGAGTACCGAAAACAACTGGTTCAGCCTACATGTACAGTTATGTCACCGTAGGAGAGTTCTGTGCCTTTGTAATTGGTTGGAATTTAATTTTGGAATATCTTATTGGAACGGCAGCCGGAGCTAGTGCATTAAGTAGCTGTTTTGATTCTCTGTTCCAGCATACATATAGTAACTTTATGATGGATAATGTTGGAGGCTTTGGAATACACAGTATGCATATACCTTCCAACATACTTAAATGCTCCTTCTTATTTTAATATAATGAATTGGATAATAAAATATAATTAGGCCTAGATTTATTTTTGACATCTTCTGGTATTTGCCCTAATGAAAGTTATGATATGTAATCAAATAGAACTCAGAAGTTTAACTTGATATTATTGGAGTAGTCTATTTTTTTGCAAAAAATAATACGGTACCGTACTTTTCTGTGCATTGCTCATTCCTCATTGCGAAGTTTCCCCTAGCTGCAATATTGACCATGAGAGATGTAATGTCGACTTTCCTTCCATTGTGGATTCTATTATTTTTTTGTCTCTAGATAAAATACCGGAACCCGCTTGACTCAAGTATATCACAATAACTACATCATTAATTGTGGAATTAAAGAATAGAAATATGATTGGATGTTTACCAATTATTTTTATTCATGGTTGTATATCTGCCGGGACACCAACTGGGAGTCTCTCAGTTGGGTAAATTGGTAGAGGGTCGCTACAGCATACCATTGGTCCACCGATATTAAAACTGACAAACATGAAATACATTTACGCAATTGGCTATTACGCAGTGCGTGCGTACGAGATTTCCATGAATTTAGCAAAAAAAGGCCTATCCAAAAGTTATTTGTATAGAATAAATTCACTCCGGGGGAACTTCAAAACAATAGGCCTATAAGGAACTTTTTCTCTGATACACTTTTTTTCTTTATAAAACACATTTTATAAGAAAATTGAGGCTGAAAATGCTTAAAAATTAAGAACAAAATAGGCCTAAGAACAACTTGAAGCAGAGGCAAAAGGTCAACTTAGGTTTTCAAATAGAAAAAGCAACAAATTGTATCTGTACCTTATGTGCAGTAGGTGTGATGTAATACTAATACAGTAATATACTATTGGAAAAATAATAATTTTCGATGTTTGAAAGGTGTGTAAAAATAAGAACTAAATCAGAACATGTTGAGCCTGAAATCGGCAAAATTTGACTGGTTCTTATATAAAAAAAAAAAGTGTGGCTAAATGCCTCAACCGATCTTTAAATCATGGTTCTATTATTTGATCACTTTTTTCTATCAATATTTGATTATTCATATCCGAAATGTATACAGGATTACTTAAATTAACGAAAGAACATAAACGCTAAAAGAATGCTAATGGTCTAACATTTATAATCATTACAGACAAAACATATCCTGACATCCTGGCCATGATCATCGCTATTGTCATGACCTTAATCATTGCGGCTGGCGTACAGAAGTCTATATTATTCAACAATGTACTCAATATCATCAACGTAGCTGCCTGGGTTTTCTTCATCGTAGCAGGCTTGTTTTTTGCTAATGGTGAAAATTGGAGAGAGAATGGATTTTTCCCCTATGGATTCTCAGGGGTAAGTAGACCTATTTATCTCTCAGCACAATTTTTATTCCTGTTTCTGATAAATTATTTTACAATTCTTCTTTTTATATGGATGGTTGAAATGAAACTCTGGAGTCAGGTAACAAAATGATGAAATTTACATCGATGTTTACTAGGTTTTAACTGGTGCTGCAACATGTTTCTATGCCTTCATCGGTTTTGACATCATAGCAACGACTGGAGAAGAGGCTAAGGACCCAAGTCGATCTATTCCAATTGCTATAATTGTCTCCCTAGTAATTTGTCTTATTGGTAAGTATGTGTGGGTGTGTCACTACGTTCGTGGGCGTAGGTGTGTGGGTGTATGTATGTATATAGGTGTATGGCCAACGACAATTAAGTAGGCCTCCTGCACTTGCAAGTTTTAAACTCTTTAAACTAACATAGACTTAGGTTCAACGGTGTTTTATGTTACAATTTGTTATATTTTTGGTGGACTCCAACATGTGCATCTGTATGTGGTTAGATTACTGACGTGTTTAGCAGTACATGTGTTAAGTATCTGACATCATCTCATATCATATACCTAAGCGTATTTAATACTAAACAATTAAAAAAAAAATACTCAATATATAATAAATGAGTAAATTAAATTTATATTTTCATGTGATAATTTTTTTGTAATAATAAAAATAAGGGTCGACTTATATATCGCATGCAGTAGACTTCTATATGTAAAAATGTTAAATTTAATTATTCTGAAATTTAAATGTTCTAATGTTTTTCTGTAATAACACAATGTTGGCTTTTTCATAGATTGATTTTCGTTTTTCATACTGTTTCCTGTGGATTTTTTTTAATGCACAATATTATTGTTTATTTCGTGTCATGTTGTTGTTTTTGTTCTTCATTTCTCTGTATGTGCACGACTCTTGTTTTATTTTATTTTATTATTTTATTTATTTATTTGTCGTGTCGTGCTCAAATAGTGTGAGCTGCTTTTATAACTGCCTCCTTCGTACTACTGTATATCTATAAAAATAAACCAAAAAAACAATAAAATAATTGGTCTTAGCTTAATAATTCAACTCCTATTGTATATGCTCGTTGTACATCGTCATCATGCAACTATGCTCTGCACATCACAGTATACTATCTACAACACCCATCTCATTTACAGCACATTATCTCAATGCTTTGTACAATTCACGCATCTCATTATGCTTTGCTTTGTGCAACACACATCTTACTATGCTTTGCTTTGTAAAACCGTTTTCTCGATGGTACAACACGCATCTCACTCTTTATTTAGTTCATAAAAATTTCGACACAAGAAATAGTGTCGAATAGGAATCCATGGGACAAAGGCCCAAAACAAAAGCGGGTACTTTGCACAACACACATCTCATGCACAACATGCATTTTACTAAGCTTTTGTACAACGCATATCTCACTATTCTTTTATCATGTTTTTAACTAGTATACGTAGACGGGTCACTAGGACCTTAGTGGAGTATTAAGTAACCCTGTACACCTCAAACTTTAGGCCTACATTGTATAATGATCGTAACCACGTTTCTTTTATAGGATATGTAACAGTAAGTATGGTATTAACGTTGGCTGTACCATATTATAGAATTAATCCTGAATCACCGCTGATGGATATGTTTGTTATGAACCACGCTGTTGATGGCAAATACCTGGTAGCTATTGGTGCTGTCGCCGGTCTAACGGTCAGTCTTTTGGGCTCGATATTCCCTATGCCTCGAGTCATCTATGCTATGTCAATGGATGGTTTACTGTTTAGGTAAGGCAAACATATTGCACTTATGGTATTGATATTATACAAATGTAATTGTTAGCTGTAGCTGAAAAACATTTTGTAATTGAAAAATTTCATCAATTTAATTATAATAATATAATTTAATTTATATTGGAAATTTAACAAATGGGACTATATAGTCCCATTTGTTATATTTGTTATATAAGCAGCCCTAGGACCTATATTACCGTATTTTACAGCAAACTGTTTAAGTAATCAGCGCCATATATTATATATATATATATATATATTGATTTTGTTATAGCTTAATAAATTTGTGTTCCGCAAGTCATCTTTCAATGATTGTACACCGTTTTTTCTTTGCTTTTGCATTTTATATATATATATATATATATATATATATATATATATGTGTATATAGGCCTATATATATATCATCTTGTGATAATGTTATAAATATATATAAATACATTTTAAAAGTTAAAAAAGAGGAACCTGCGAGTGTAAAAAAATCGCATTGCCCGATCGTCAGCGGCAGATAACCTGCATAGGCCTATATGTTTAGTATTAGTCACGAGAGAAACCACCTTCACAAAAAGAACGGTACATATGTTAAAGATTGGACAACGATTTAATTACAAACACCCTGGATATTTGGTGGAGAGACAACATTAATAATAATGATCTTCCTTCCAAAAATTGCTACGAGAAAGTCCTCCAAAACATCCAGTCCAGTAGGCATACGTTATATGAAGTTAAAAAAATGACTTGCCAACTCGTGAAAATAGTGTGTATTGAATTCTAGAAATAGTTTCGTATGGTGTGCATATTGGTTAATGTTCTCCTGTGTTACAGTAATTAAACGTTAAACTCGTTGATATGGTTGACTAGAATATACATTATAGTACGTATTATTGATTACGACCGTACCTGTCTCTTATACACATCTAGATGTGTATAAGAGACAGATCTATACCATGTCCTGATGATTGACTTTTATTTTTTTCCACTTAGATTCCTTTCGAACATCAACATAAGGACGCAGACCCCAGCAGTTGCTACAGTAATATCCGGATTCCTTGCCGCACTTATGGCATTACTTGTAAACTTGGGAGACTTGATAGAAATGATGTCAATTGGTACCCTTTTGGCTTATACTTTGGTTTCCATGAGCGTCCTCATCCTACGTTACCAACCCTATATTGATATCAAAATGTCAGTCAATACAACATTTGAATACGAGACATTCGATAATGATGAAATTGAGCAAGCAAAAGCTGAAGTAAATACTGGAAGATATCACAAAGATACAACTGTAAACGAAGATGGAAGCGTTTCTTTACTTTCAAGTAAAGATACATTAGCCACTGACAGCTCAAAAGGGAAGCAATCTTATGGGGCGGTTGACAAAGAAGAAGACCAGAATGATGACTTCAAATCATATTCCAATACAGACTTGAATTTATCCAAGTTAAGAGAAAGAATGTACAATATTTACACGGAAATTCGGCGAATTTTAGGATTCTCAAGTGAAAATAAACTCCCAACCGCGGTATCAGGTCGTACCGTGACGTACTCAACTTTGTGTCTTTTTTCTCTAATATTCATTTTATGTTCACTCGCCATCTACGGCCAGAGAGATAGATCACGGTGGTGGGTGAAGATTCTTATCGTGATTTTTATATCACTTATTTCTATATGCATATTGAATATAGTTCGCCAGCCACAGAATCCAGACAAATTAAAATTCATGGCACCAGCCGTACCTTTACTACCCATAGCTGCGATGTTCATAAACATATATTTGATGTTAAATCTGTCGACACTCACATGGATCAGATTTGGTATATGGATGGCGATTGGTAAGGGTTTGTTTACACATTAGCAGTTTAGTTACTAAAGATGATTCTTCAGCAATTAAATACTAGCTTTCTTATGTGGTTTAATCTTACAGCCAACAACGATCCGACTTCAATGATTAGCTTGAAGTCCAAATCTTACAAGTTGACCAAATTTACTTATATATAATGATTACAACTCCATCGAGAAAATTTAAAAAAAAAAAACATTTAAAAATTGAAATACTATTATTATTTACAATTGGCAAAACATTTTTGAAGAAATCAAAAATTGTATGTATCTGCCTTAGAATAAAATATTTAGTAATTTTTACCATAGGTCGTCTGGTACTGATTAAAATATCAGAAATGACGAAAACATAATCAGAAAACCTATGTTTCTGTAATACGCAAGTACGAAAATAAATGACGGAGGTTGACGTGTCACGGAACATAAAATATTATTAGCTATAGTGTAGATATGTAGTTAAAATATGAACCATCAACACACTGTACATGAAATTACACTGACTTCCTCAATTTTTTATACTCTAGGTTTGATTATATACTTTGGATATGGCATCCGAAATAGTAATATAGAACCAAGATGCGTCGATATTACTACACGGTCGAAAGACGGTAAGGAGGCCATTGTGATGGGCACCAAAACACCAGAGGTAAACATTCTAAACAATGCAACTATACGTCATTATTCATAGATTTTTTATGCCTCCAACTTTCATTTTCAAAAATCTGTTAATGTTATGTCATATAAGATGACACCAAATCACAATTAGAATTGCATGTATCTGTTAACGATATGGGAAAGGCCTACAGCCGGACACACACTGCACGGCAAATCAATGTGAGCGCTAGACGACGCCGTCCGCTGATTTTTCGTAACAATCTGAACGGATCGTCAGCATAACGATCCATTGCGCGCGCGCCGTGGTGTTGTATTATTTTAATACTGTAGAATCGCGTCGGCCGACAATCGTCGGGGCGCTGTGCAGTGAGTTCCCGGCTTAACACTTTTAATTGAATTTAGTCCGTCAACTATCCATTTTAAAGTCTTATCACATGATAATTAGAACGTCTTTTTTGCACTAAAGGTAGCGACATCAGCTTCTGTTATTCCAGCACACGCTAGAAAAATGGCAGATAGTTCATATAGCGAGCCTTCATCTATGTCATCAGACGGGGAGCCATAATGCTGGATGTGTTATATTTTTGGTGGATTTCACTGATAGTTCGTATAGCAAGTTCTCATTATTGCCCGATCGTCAGCGGCAGATAACCTGCATAGGCCTATATGTTTAGTATTAGTCACGAGAGAAACCACCTTCACAAAAAGAACGGTACATATGTTAAAGATTGGACAACGATTTAATTACAAACACCCTGGATATTTGGTGGAGAGACAACATTAATAATAATGATCTTCCTTCCAAAAATTGCTACGAGAAAGTCCTCCAAAACATCCAGTCCAGTAGGCATACGTTATATGAAGTTAAAAAAATGACTTGCCAACTCGTGAAAATAGTGTGTATTGAATTCTAGAAATAGTTTCGTATGGTGTGCATATTGGTTAATGTTCTCCTGTGTTACAGTAATTAAACGTTAAACTCGTTGATATGGTTGACTAGAATATACATTATAGTACGTATTATTGATTACGACCGTACTATAGGCCTAATGGATATTATTGTGAAGTTAATTGAAACACAATCGAATTGTATACGTACGTTCACCAGTGATACGTTTAACGTTTCCAACTACATGGTCTGTAGCCATCGTCAACAAATGTATATTTATGAACTCGGCGAATAAGATCTTGTTGACATTGGTGTTATATTAGGATTTTTGTAATAATGAAATGAGATATAAGATATATAGTACTCTTGGTCAAATTGACGTTAGAAAATCCCTGTTAAGATGGAAATAATAACACTATTAAGTGTCAATTTCACATCATGTTTTTGTTTAAAGTGCAATAAATATTTACTATTAGGTTGTGTAAATAGTTAATCCATTGTATAGGTGTATTATAGAGTAGTGTATATATAGCGATAATGTTTACATGTAGGCCTACCCAATGTCCGGTGTGTTATTGAGTAGCCTATAATCTTAAAAACCCAATTTCCTTTCTTAATACAGTATATACTGTATAACACAAACCAAAAGAAAAACAAACAAAACTGCAAAACAAAAAAATAAACAATTGAACTACCAATTGTGATGAATGTTGTGTGATGGTACATTGAATGGTTACGGTATCTTATGAACTGTCTATATAACAACTATAACTATTCATTTAAATGGAACTCATGAAATAAATAGTCAAATGCAAACTAAGTAGATAATATTAATTACAACATTTACTCTATAAAAAAAATTAAGCAGTTTAGGATACTGTTTGTGCTGAGTAAAAAACTCTGTATGTTCAATATTTGAATAATACTTTACTATGTATTTAATTAAGTAATTTCTTTTATTTTAAAATTATATCTAGAAAATATTTTTTTCATAATTAAAACAGTAATAACTTTGCAAAATTGTTTTGTACAGGCCTAGGTCCTTATAGTTGGCAATAAATTTAGAGATTTTCCTAACTGTGGGAAATTTCTGTTGAAAATGTCATCGTGTTGGTAATAATGTGAGCTTTAGTAATACAGCTTTTATTTACTTGGAGCCAATTCGACCCATATTATAATATAGTAACGTACAGTAATCTACAGAAAATCGACTTTTATTTAATTTGCAAATTTTCGGTCTAATCTAGACCCTCTTATTTTTATTTGATTTTTATGTTATTCATTTCACTAAACAACAATATAAAAGAAATAATATCAAAATTAAGTACAGTTTCTTGCTAATTAAATAAAAGTAAGTCGATTTAGATTATGTTACTTTATGAGTCAACATGGCTCCAAATAAAACCTACTATAGTTTTGATTATGTCAATAACATAATTAAGGGCTTTTTTCTTTACCAGACTGAGTTTCTTTTACATAATACACTATATAGATTTACCATGTATTTAGAACGTTGCCTCAGGAATAAAACTAAATAAAGTATGCAGTTATTTTGTTTAATTTTGTATCAAGTATACAAGTAAATTAATAGTAATTATAGTATTAAAATTTTCGATTTTTTATTTGTACATGGAAAGATCTTAACGGTGTTACGAGTCAGTCAGGATCAAAATTAAGTACAATTCTTTCTTTAAAAAAAAAAATTAAGTCGATTTAGATTATGTTACATCTTTGATGTAAAAAATCAGGTCTACTGTAACATCCACCACCATGCACTAGTGATACAACAAAAACACATAACGATTAGTTATGGTTACAATATTGAGATTTTAATTTCTCAGATGATTATAACAGCATCTGCCGCATGACATTATTTATATATTTTTATGGCATTAAATGAAATTAAATGATGTACTGTACAGCATCAAGTGAAGATGCGACAGTTTCACATCAAGTATAAAATGCTACCAGGACTCCATTCAGATTTGGAATAAGCCAGGCTTATGTTAAGACCGGCTCACGGTTAAGCCTGGCTAGGCGTTCACACTAGGTGGATTAGTGAGAGGCAAGTTTGCATATTCATGACCCGGAATCAGGAAATGATTTTCAAAAGATTTTGCGCGAGACATGTGTTTCCTCACAGCAGATGTAATTGAATGTTGATTGGTCAAATTTTTTTTACCCGGGGTCAATGCGGGACGACCCCCCCTCCCCCACCAATCAATTAAAGCCTGTCGTAGAAAAGCTAAACCAGGTGGCACACCAGGCCTAGTTACTATAGGAACAATGCCTGCCTTGAGATTAGCCACCAAGTTCAGACTTGAAGGTGGATAAACCCAGTGAGTTAAGCCAGGTTTATTCACCTACTGTAATATGAACTGAGCTAGGCCTATATCTTCACATATCAATACACAATGTTACTATTTCACATCACCAAACATATCTTTATTAAGTACCATATAGATACACAGTGTTAAATAAAGATCATATTATACACTGTAGTACGAGTTGAGTCTTTAACTGGCTACTGGAATGGCTTGAGTACGCATCGCTGTCACAACACGCATCCCTCGGCGATGTATACTTGACCATGTCCAATCGGCTTTGATTTGCAATCCACAGTCGCCACAAGTCTTACTGATTCTGTACTTCTTAAACAACTTGTTTGGTTAAGGTAAGAAATGTATTCAAATGCTTTGCACAATTTGTCATCTATCCATGGGATTTTGGTCTTGGAGTCTATGATAACAAGATTTTCAGACAATGCATCTGAAAATTTGTTAAACATTCTATAAACAGGACTGGTTAAGATATAAATGCACGCTGAGCATTTTTTCCACATGTAGGCCTATCTATCTGTTAAGACCAGGTGTAGTGATAATTTAAAAAATTGTATCTCTATGTTTAAACCATAAGAACTCCAAATTTGATTTTATATACTACTGTATTAAGATAGTGAAATCTTACTATCCAATGACAATAAAATGCCATAGCACACAACGGTAACGCATCTCTCTATGGAAAGAAAATTATTTACATTCTTCTATATATTTTCTGTTAAGATGACCAAAAATTAAAAATTGTTGTGTTGCCCTCCGCGACCGACCAAAATTTTCCAAAAAAATCGGGTCGACATTTTTTTTGGTTTTTTTTTGGGTAATTTCATTCAAGTACAATTACCACTGCCAAAATTAACATTATAACATAAAATCTAAAACTAAAAGAGACATGCATAAAATCGTTAAAATAGAAGGCATAGGCCTAATTTGGAGAACCGAGCGCGACTACGATATATGCACACAACATCGGATCTCTCATGCTGAGGTGTCAAGCCACGACCAGATCTAGGCCTAGCCTATTCTTCACTACTGTACAGCTAGTAATTGCTTGAATCAAAAATAGTATTCATTACCTTACGGTATATTGGACAATAAATAAAAACAGGCTTAAGTCTAGCCATTGCTTTAAAGCCAGTACATAGCTAAACTGTAACTGTTTCAGGCCAACCATGAACGAAATATTTTTTCCTTTTTCATTCGGTCGTATTACATAGGGGGACATGTATGGACATTTTTTATTGCCATAGTACGGCTTTGCTCAACCTGCCAGTGCCTGATCGTGTGGATCAGATACACATATTATTTTACGTTTTGAAACCAAATAAAAACTTTCTTCATACTGATTTATGTTTGTTAAACTTTATTTCAATATACACTTGGTTAGTATAATACTCAATACTCAATAATAATAATAATAATAATACTCAATAATAATAATACTCAATAATAATAATAATAATAATAATAATAATAATAATAATAATAATAATAATAATAATCTGCCATATACTTTGAATATTTTTTGTTTGGCAAGCTTTCTATTGTGGTACCTACGAGCCCTTAGGCCCAGGCTCTTCAATAGGGACTGCAGGGAATGCATCCTGGGGTAAGGATTGTTAAAATCCTAAAAACCTACAATATTATTATATTATATTTGGGAAAGGCTGTTTGGCTCAGTGGTTCTCATTTTAGCTAGGAGTTCAAAACACATGCTGACCAATCTCGGCTGGCCATGCTTAGATTCCCCAACTTGCATTGTTGACAGGCTGTGAAGTGACTCAGGCTAGATCTATCCCTCTCTTACCTATCCTCAGGCTACAAATCTTAAAAATCGATCATTATTTTACATTAATTGCAAAAATTATGAGTAACACAATTTATAAGCAATATTTCATATTTTAATTTGCCGAATCAAACCCTTGAAATATATACTGTACAGTATTATGATATTGATGGTTTACTAAACAAAAATACAGTAGCTCTACATATATGTATGTTAAGATTATAGAGAAATAGTAGATAAAAATGTTGATAAAATTACTACTATACTACTGTATGCAGTAGATATCTTAAAAGAAATGAACTGAAGTGTGTGCATCAAACTATAGTATAAGGCAAATAAAGAGTGTCTTCCTTTCTTGATAAATAAAAATGTGAAAATTACAAACATTCCTTATGATTGCTTGTTTTAAAGAATCACATAAGTAATTTAAAATAAAAATTTTATAATTTATTGACCAATCACTAGAGAGAAAATTGTTTTCTTTTCTCATTCTTATTTTCAGTCAAGAGCTTAGACAGCGAGCCGTCTGGCCATCTTTTAGAAGGTCAACAATTATTTAAGACTGCCAATTTTACCGTGATGGCTTGAACGGCATGGCCTACTCAGCTCGGCCTAGCCTAGTTGGGCCTGGTCTACCTTCAGCAAATATTTATATTCCTTGAATCTATCAAATGTTGCATCAAACTAAAGCATATTTTGGATGGCCTATTTCGTTTTTCTGGCTAAACTACTGTTTTCAGTAGAAAGCTAGTAACTTGAACTACACAAAATTGTTCTTTTTTAATTTTCAAGTTTATTAGATTTACAATGCAGCATTTTTAAAGTTATACTCCAGCATCTAAAGCAATAAATACAATAAATAATAGTTTTACGTACAGGTATGTTAAATAAGTACTGTAATTACGAAGTCTACGACATAATATATATTAAAATGCTTTAGTTAGTGCGAACATCAGCATGCAAAATGCGCAGAATTTACTGCTGTGGTCCTTCTACCTACTTCAGGATCCATCACAGCACCACCAAACATCACCATCTCTGCCTGTCCCAAAACAACTGAATAAAATGATATCCTTTCTGGTGGAGGTCTATGGTCCAATGGGAAAGCTCTTATCTGATCACTAACCTGGTTTCCATTCTGCACTGCTACACGCCACTTTACAATATGATCGCTTAATACGTTTGTTATATCTAGAATATACAACTGAAGAGGAGATCTTACCAAAAGAGTTGATTGTGTTTGTGCTTTTGTTGGCCATTTACAACTACAATGCAAACCAGGGTAATCTTGTCCACAAAATGCAGAATTGGTTTTTGAAGTCAATGGTTGGTCCCTATTTTCATAAGAGTTGTCAGTAGCACTTTTTTGCAGGCTTCCTCGAATACCATTCACACAATTGTCTATATTGTTAGCAACAGGAACTGCTTCCCTAAGTTCATTACTTGCTCGAGGGCCAGTTCTCATGGAGGAAATACAAGGATTATGATGTTTATGTTGAGGTCGTTTGCTGCGACTATAAACAACTACAGAATTACCCACTTTAACAACTGGATGGCACCAAATCTCAGGAGGTGAATGTGCTGCATTATCAATTTGGATTGGAGTCCAGTTCCACGGTAAACAGGGATCCATATGCAACAACCAGATATCATCACAAAGCTAAAATTCAAATACAACAAAAGAAATAATAATAATAATAATTAAAAAAAAAACAGTATGCTAAAAAAGGTGTCTGATGGATTTGTGTGGATTTCTTAAGGAATTGTCTGAAGATTTGTGTGGATTCGAAGTATCTGTTGGATTTGTGTGGATTTATCAAGGAATTTTCAGATGGATTTGTGTGGACTCTGAAGCAAGTGTCTGATGGATTTGTGTGGACTACTATGAAGGAAGTATCTGATGGATTTGTGTTGATTTCCCAAGGAAGTGTCTGATAGATTTGTGACGTGTGGATTTCTCAAGGAAGTGTCTGACAGAATTGTGTAGAATTTGAAGGAAGTAGTGGATTTGTGTGGATTTATCAAGATGGTGTTTGATGGATTTGTGTGGATTTATCAAGGAAGTGTCTGATGGATTCGTATGGAATTCAGAGGGATGTGTCTGATAGATTTTTGTGGATATGTGTTAGGTTCTTAAAGAAGCTTCTGATGGTAATGTTGAAAATAATTTTTGGAAGCAAACACATTATTACACTATTACATAATAACAACAATATTAAATAGAATGATATTGACTATCTAAATACCAACTCATACTTACCATTCCGTTCTTTCCCCAGCCTCCAATGATTAATTGATATTGGTCATTGATCTTAATTTGACCATGGCCGGACCGCTCAAGAGGTTTTGGTTGTTTTGTGTCCTGTTTGTGCCATTCCATTTTATCCATGTTTAGCACCCAAATATCATTACTTCTACAAAGAAAAATAATCACCTTAAGCTCTGTCCACATTATTTTATTTGAATTTAATTTGTAGAAGCGGTTTGGCGCAGCGGGAGCAGATTGGTTTCCCAAACTCGAGGTCGGGGTTTCAATCCCTCGCTGAGCATTTCGCTTGTGTCCTTGAGCAAGACACTTTATCTGCATTGCTTCTCTCCACCCAGGAATATAAATGGGAACCTGGTGGGGTTGCCTGCTCATGCGCTGATTACCAGCAGCAACACTTAGCATGTGGACCCAATGACCAGGGAAAGGAACTGCGCTTTATAACCGCAAGGAAGAAGCGCATTATAAATGCCTGTACTAGTACCAGTATCAGTAATAAAAAACTGTTGTAATCATTCCCATATATATATAATAAGGGGTGAGTATTAATATTGGTTGGAGGGCCAAAGTGAATTTTTCAGTACACTTTCAAAACCCTTAAACTGAAAGGTCCACTGATTAATCTCAGATAACAAAGTATAATACATACTCCAAGTATTGAAATGCACGCCATCGTGTTGGGATTCAATATTTCGACATTAATTATGTCATCATCAGGAATGATCAAAACCCTTCATACACTGTTTTGTGGCCACTATAAGCTCAGTTTTACTAATACTTTTTACAGATATTCGGTGCTGGGCAGCAAGAAACAAGGTGATTTCTAGCTAAAGATGGTTGGCAAGCCACACACATAGGGTTTGTAATTCATTTTCGTGGGCCGCAAAAAAAATAACTGGCGCATGTGGCCCACGGGCAGCCCTTTGCCCACCTGTGTTATATATGGTGATGATGTGATGTCATAGCATGTCATACATGTTTTGGTGATGATGTGATGTCATAGCATGTCCCATGTTTTGGTGATGATGTGATGTCATAGCATGTTACATGTTTTAAAATCTCAGTCTGGACAGGAAATTAGACACTTACAGAAATTAATATGAAATCGTAATTTCAAGTCATGAATTAATCAATAAAAGCTAACATCCATTATGATAATGTTAGTACTGGATTTTTTCTCACAACCAAAACAACTCCACACCCTACTGTAAGCCTCGTAATGAAACTGATGTCTAGTTGAGCATCTTGTGTGTATGTTTGTCTTGGGGGGATTTGCCACTTTGAAAAGTGATTCAGTTCACTGTTAGGCATATCCTTGGCCCTAGTGCTGCCTTAAGCTGAATAAAAAAAATGTATTGCTATTCTGATAAGAAGTCAAACTGTCATTTCTGCACCCGACATTCTTTTTCTTTCCAGTCTGATATTGTTTTTCTTTTTTTGCTAGTTTTGTACATTATGTTTATTTATTTCTTTAGTAATGGTTATTGCTTTAGTAGTAAATGTTATAATAATTTAACTTTACACAGTATAGTGAAAATCAGGGCCACCATGACCATTTTTCGGGGATCAAGGTTTCTCTGCTGATTTAGGATCATTAGGGTATAAATGAAAAATTGAGAGGGGGAACCTCCAGAAAAAAAGGCAGAACACATTTTTTGGCAGCCATTTTCAAAATGGCTGCCAAAATTCAGATATTGGCTCATAACTTTACTTATATCCAATGAAAAAGGGCAAATCTAGTGTCTAACTATACAGTATGATATTCAACACTAAATTTACCATTTTTGATCGAGGAGAAGTGGAATTACATGCCAAAATATTCAATTTTCGGTGGTTTTTATGGCAGCCATCTTAAATTTCACAATGGCTGCCATCCTACTGTATATTTATGAAACGATGTATATTGGACTCAGAGAGCCCAATCACATATGTTTAAACACCAAACTTGGCATTTTTCATCAAAGAGAAGTGGAATTGCATACTAAAATATTCAATTTTTGAGGATTTTTATGGCAGCCATCTTGAATTTCAAAATGGGTGTCATCCTAGTTTTTAGAAAGTATGTTTTTTGTATTCAGAGAGCCAAAAAACATATGATTAGACCCAAAATTACCATTTTCAATTGAGGAGATATGGAATTATACAGAAATATTCAATTTTTGACAAATTTTTAAGGCGGCCATCTTGAATTTCAATATGGCTGCAATTTTAAGTTTTCGAAACCTGTCTCAATTGATTCAGTGACCCGAATAACATATACTGTAGTTAGACACCATATTTTTTCACTGGATATAAAGTAAAGTTATGAGCCCATATCAGAACACAACAAATGTGTTCCGCGCTTTTTCTGGAGGTTCCCCCTTTTGAAATTTTTATTTATACCCTAGTGATGCTAAATCAGCAGAGAAACCTGAAAAATGGTCATGGGGGCCCTGATTTTCACTATACTAATATAATATTAATATATAATAATAATATTATGAAAAAACATTATATAAGGTGGTTCTTTTCTTGAGAGATGCTGTGTGCTTACTTAACTGTACTGTATGATAAAAATAAATACAGTATAATTTTCTTTCATTTCTTTCATTTTTATTTAATGATAACTGTACGGTAGTTTTTAATTGTATTATTAATATGTAAGTTGGTCAGTAATTTCAGGCTGTAAATATCATAAAAAAATTGGTTCTTGGTCTTTAATTTTGAGTGTGGCGAAATAAAAATGGATGGCTTCATATATGTAAAAGATTAATACATTATATCTGTACTTTATACAAGGTACAGTAGGCCTATTTATGATATTTTTGACACTCATGGCTTCTTTCCAGACAATAAATCTTGAATTAAATGTCTAACCTTTCCTGTACATGCCATCCACCAAATATTATCATTTTGTTTTTCACAACTGTTGCTCTATGCCCAGCCATTGGAGGAGGTGTCACTGATGTTGTGATAGCGGACCATTGATTCAAAGCCATGTCATATACATGAAGCTCATTATAAAACCTTGGAGCTGGATAAAGAGGTGATGGAAGAGGAGGAGCCCATCCTCCAAACACTATCAGTAAACCCTTATAGTAAACCATAGAAGCTGAAGCACGTGGAGACGGCATGGAACGTGGACCACTTCCTGAAACAGAGGAATCAAAATACAAGAAATAAAAAAACATAAAAACTTAGCACCTTAAGTCCACACTTCCTAGAAATATTTCACCACTTATTTAATTTTACTGTCCAGTTCATTGAAATACACTTGATAACATAATGAACATCTGTTTTTGTAGTATTTAAAACCGAATGGTTTCGTATTAATTTTTCATTACCTGATGCGATTACACGAGACCATTTTCTGCTGGTCAAGTCCAACTTCCAAATGTCATTAAATGTTGTTTCGGATACAGAGCTTCCGCCAAAGATATACATATTGCCATCTACGTAACAAGCACTATGTGAATGACGAGCTGTAACAGGTGTTTGAGGGCATTGTTTATGGCTCCAACGTATCTTACCATCTTGTGTATTATTTCTGAATGCATGGTATCTACGTTGTTGTATGCCTATAAAACGAAAACAAGAAAAAAAAAAATAGAAGATAATCTATTTACAATGTTTTACTTACCTTCAAATATTCAGGAATTTAATATTAATTTTATATTAAAATTAACTGTTTGGGCTATTTTTTTTATTTTTTATATTCAACTTTGAATTTACCATGTGGTGCCTAGCTAGGCCTAGCTTAGCCTATAGTGCCGGCCTAGTACCAGTAGGTAGTTAAGCCGAATACCGTTAAGCCTAGCCTACCTAGCTAGGCCTTAGCGTTTCCTAGTTCGGCCTTTACTTTAGGCCGAGTAGGCCATCGCTTTGACATTCAAAGCACTCCACTCGGCTTAGTATTGTAGAGGAGCCTACTAGCCTAGGCCTAGCTAGGCCCCTAGCTAGCTAGGCATACACTAGGCCCTAGGCCTCCTCTATGTCTGATCCTTACTTACTACTAGCCTAGGCCTAGATTATTCTTACCGTGAATAAGTCTATTCCATACTTTACACACTCTAGCAGCATCATCACATTCTCGGTAAGGTGAAAGATACCATAAAATCTTTTCCACAATTTCTTCGGGCAAGTTATTAAAACTTCTATTACTTTTACTTCCCAATTCCATTATTGTTTGCGGTGGTAATTAACGATATATAATCGCGAGTCATCTTATTTGTACACAAAACATCTGTTCTCTAAACCTTCTCAATAGTTAAACCGAGACAGGCCACTGTAAAACACATTTTACTCAATGTCATAGAACAGACGTTTTGAACTTTACACTACAGATTAGGCCTATGGGATGAGAAGCAACACTGAGTTTATTAATCAGATAAGCAATAGTTAAAACTAATGATTTATGTTTTTAAATAATATTTTGTTTGTAAAAATTATTAGTTTAGCCTAATGAGTATTTTTAGCTAGAGCTGAACGTTTTGTTAGATTATTCTGTTAGTTCATAAATAATATAAACCGGGATTAATTAAAACATATTGTTATTCATTGAATAATTTGAGATTCAATCCATCTGAGCAGACTAATATGAAAAAAACATTAAAAACAAATTTGCTAGATTATAATAGATGCTTTGGTATAATTTTTAATTAAAACTCTTGTATTTGATTTGATTTGTCTGCACAAAGGGATAAATTTTCCTATTCAGTTATTTGGCCTATGCTGTCTTTAGTAGTTTATGTTCAATCTTGTACTCATGGAGGTGGTTGGAGGAAGTTCTAAGTTCTAAGTTTATATTCAACTGTTTTTTCGTATAGGCCTACGCTTTTAACAAGATTATTAGGCCTATTGTATAATTCGTGGTGATGCGACATTGAAGAATGACGCATACAGTAATTGATGAATTTTCAATGCGATTATAAAGATATTTGATATTGATGCAATAGACGTAATATTTGACGGTATAGAATTGACGTACATCAATTAAACGGTCAGCGTTTAGCGTAAGGTGAGCGATGAGCCGAACAGTGCATTCAAAAGCTGCTAAGTTTATAAAACACTGAAATAATGCGGCTGATCATGTTTCGGTTTTTTAAGTCTAGTATTACTGTATTATGAACACCCCGCTTTGAATAAACGTCTTCTCGAATAAACTCCCCCTCTCATTTTAGAATAAACGCCTCCCTCGAACTCGAATAACGCCCAAGGTGTTTATTTTTTCTAAAATGGCTGTAAACAAATCTAATGGAAGCAACATCATTCCCAACACAGTAGATTAATGTTTGACTACCTATCACCTGCAGCAGGTAGGCCAGCACCCGAAACTTGTAGATTTGCTGTTACAGTACACGCACTATTATCGGTCACCTGTTCCTCATGCACATTCACCATAATTATGATTTGTCCATTCCTATGTTTCCCTTCCAGGTTTTTCCATTTAGGGTTGTTATCTTGCCAGATCCTCTACAAGGAAATATCATAGGAGTGAATATTTGCCCTACCTGATACTAAGCCCTACCCAATAATAAAATCTTAAAAAATGGCTGGTGTGGGAGTCGAACCCACGACCTCCAGGTCATCCTGCCGTTGTTTCACTAACTCGACTGAACGGAGGGATGATGCACCGCGACGCCTAAGCCATAAATACGATGGACCTTTGTACCACACCAAGTACCAGCCAGTCGACTCCGATACTACCTGACAACATGATACGAATATAAACAGCTGTTGGTTGAATATTACGCATGGTCATGATGTCAAAAGTAAAGAAAAACTTAAATATTCAAAATAATAATTATTAATAAATATATATCTTATGATGCTCTTTACATTGCTTGGGGAAACCGTCACTGAACAAACAAACAACTCATTATAATATCACTCTCTCCCAAATGTTAAAGTTAAGAGAGACGGGCACTCCGGCCTGCTTCAGGTTTCGAACCTTTTTACCTTTTTTACCTTAATATTTGCTTGTTTCGTCTAACATCTGACTGGTAGTAGAATAAGCGTTATTACCTGATGATGACGTAGGGCACGTCGAAACATGTCCATAAGTTTCATATAATACTTTATTAGATGCATTACTGCATTTGTATATCTTATGTTCTTATTAAATATTCGAAATGATTGTTATGAATGAATATTATTTTAAGTCCGTTTTATTTTTAAAAATCATGTTAAAAAATAGATTATAAAAATATTCAAATTAGATATTTAAAAAATGGTTCGGGTGGGAATCGAACCCACGACTTCCAGTTATCTAGCCAGATGAAAACCTCTACAAGGAAATATCATAGGTGTGATTATTCGCCCTACCTGATACTACCCAATAATAAAATAAAAACAAAAATGGTTCTTGTGGGAATCGAACCCACGACCTCCAGGATATATATCCAGATGAAAACCACTACAAATGCTATAATAATAATAGATGGATTTATATAGCGCAGATAAACGAGGTCTATATGTGTTCAAGACTAGATGTTGCACTTTTCAATAACTGTCTCATCCCCTGAGGGTCACTTCATGTCCACCGCAGCCAGTAAACTGGCGCACTTTCATCTGACCACGACAGGGACCGAGTGAACCAGTATGATGTAAGTTTGCCTCAAGAAATATCATAGGAGTAATTATTTGCTCTACCTGACGTGTTATCATACGGAACTCAGTATGCCTCCAAATACTAGTCATTAATAAAAAATATTTAAAAAAATGGTTCGTGTGGGAATCGCATAAATGCGATGAACATTTGTACCACACCAAGTACCAATCATTCGACTCTGAGACTACCTGACAACATGATACGAATATATACAGCTGTGGGTCAATATTACGCATGGTCATGGTGTCAAAAGTAAAGTAAATATTCAAAACAATTGTTATTAATAAATATCTTATGAAGCCCTTTACATTGCTTGGGGATCCGTCACTGAATAAACAAACAACTCATTACAATATCACTCTCTCATTCCAATTCCTATATACTTGACTTACCATAGTATTCCTGACCTCTATATACATGACTTGTTTCTTGTTTGTTTCGTCTTACATCTGACCGGTAGTATTTAAACCGTTAGTAACATAAGCGTTATTACCGGGTACCTGATGATGACGTGGGACACGTCGAAACATGTCTATAAGTTTCATATTATACTTTATTAGATGCATTACTGCATTTGAATATTTTATGTTCTTATTAATATTTATTTGCAAAAGTCATGTTAAAAATATATTATAAAAATATTCAAATTAGATATTTAAAAAAATGGTTCGGGTGGGAATCGAACCCACGACTTCCAGTTATCAGCCAGATGAAAACCTCTACAAGGAAATATCATAGGAGTGATTATTTGCCCTACCTGATACTACCCAATAATAACATTTAAAAATTAAATGAACAGATGAAAACCACTACAAATGCTATTAAGATGTAAATTTGTGACGTCAGGAAATATAATAGGAGAGTGGTTATTTGCCCTACCTGACGTGTTATCCTACCGAAAACTCAGTACGTCCTACCTCTGCATCAATTTGTTGTGCTGTCTTATTCATTTTTTTTTAATTTCGTAAGTGTTCTTATGTGTTACAGCGATACATGTGACGTTTAGTGTAGTACGGAATAGTGTTTTCCCCGCTACCGGTCCGAATTCGAATCCCATTATGTCTATGTTTTTATCAGTATTTTTTATTTCATCGTCCGTACTAAACATAACATCTTAAGACAGTATATACAGAGAATGAGATGTGTATGAGGATGCACTCGGTCAGTTTTTATTTAAAGAAACCTCGAAAACCAATAAAAATACAAAAAAAAATCTTTATCTTCCATTTGTTTTAAATCATAGTGTTTTAGAATACTCTTTTAAGAATATTTTTCCTAAAAATTAATATGATACGACTCGCCGTTGAGGAGTTATGATATATTTAGCATGATTTCAAGAATTTAGCCTCAAAGCTGATCTAATTTTTGTTGGTTATTACACACCACTGATATGGCCCGTTTGTCATGGTCATCATTTCAAAATGTCTACCAATAATGCGTGGTAAAAGCGTCTTCTTCACATACACAAAAAGACGTTCGAACGTCATGTCGAAACTACATAACATAGCCTAATGTGCAAACCACATAGCGTCATGTTCAAACCACATAACGTCATGTCCAAACCACATGACATCATGACCAAACCGCATACATCATGACCAAACCACATAACATCATGACGAAAACAATAACGTCATGACCATACCACATAACGTCATAACGATTGCACATAATACAGTGTACACATAAGATACTAACGGCGTTCCATACGTGTGCGGCGTCGATGTAGTCGCCCTAAAAAACGAAAACAGCTCTTGGCCACGCTCTATTAGTTCGTAGTAGACTGGTCGGGTAGTCAAAACTAAATGCCTATTGTTTCCGGAAGAGCGTGTAGTGGTTGGTATCTCTTGGATGAAATGGACCCTTCGCTAAGCTCGTCATCATCATCTTTTTAATCATCATAATCATTATCAGCATCATCATCTACATACCGTTATTATTAATATCATTATGTGGTTATTTCTTTTCTAGTGTAGACATATATTTCGACCAATTTGTGGTTTGAAACTTGACAATTTGAGGCCTCGACAATTTATTTAATTTTTAGGTTTGTTTTCTTTGAATTAAGCTGACACTGAGCTCGTTTCTAGTATGAATAATTTACGTATAGCCTACTCATCCATTCTTTATTTCAATTTCATATTTCATATCGAATATCAATGTCTCTTAATAATGATATCGAGAAAATTCATTGCACATAAATTAAGACGCACAGACGTTTACATTAATAAAGCATTTTTTAATTTGCATTGTATTCATTTGAAAGGATAAAAACATCAGAAACTATACTGGGCAAAATCCAGTCCAAAATATGTGAAACCCCACGTCGCCGAAGAACAAATTGACAAAAAGTTTAAAGAAAAGGGGTTAAGCCTATTCCATAATAGAGATTAAACCATTTTGAATTATTTTATACAACATTGTATCCACAAGTGAAAGAAAATTAAAAATTAGGGGAAAAGACATTGTAAAGATTAGTAGAGGAAGACATTAAAGCAAAGTATGTAGGACTGTACTTAAACCAACTTATTCAAACACTTAGAGAAGTTTTACATTTAAAACAAATAAAATGTAGGCCTATCATATTTATTTGACAAAGCATGAGAAGTTTTACATTTAAAATAAATAAAATGTATCATATTTATTTGACAAAGCATGAACGAACAGGCTAAAATGATATTTTCGATTAAGATTTGTTTTACAAATTCGTCACAATACATTTAAAATATATGTTGAGATATAAAATACCTCTCATAACAAACAAGTAAATGCTGCCTTTTTTTCTTGTTACAATGGGTTACAGTATTATTGATAATTAAATATAATGTAATTGTTTTGCATTTCATATATAGCCAAGTACCCGCTGCGTCTGATGGACGGAAAAACGCCACGACGCTCGCAACGGATTGTTTTTAATTACTATCTGCCCAGATTGCTACCGACAATCAACAGACGTCTAGCGCTCACAGGAAGCGGAGTTGGATTTGTCGTAGGCCTACGACAGTGAGTTCCGGGGTTTGGTTGATTGATCGCCCGATGATCGATGATCGCCCGATGTACGATGCTTACTATAGTACTACCTATAATACGATTTTAACTACTGTACCATGTTACATTACTATGGCGAAACAGCAAACACCTATCACTGAACTTATAACATAAAATGTTCTATAATTTGATTTGATTAAAAAATACGTTTTATAATTTAAGTTTTCTCACTTTAACGTTGATGAAGATAGCAGGAGCTATCGAAATATCCGTTTGATTTTGTTATGGCTTAATAAATTTGTGTTCCGTAAGTCAACTTTCAATGATTGTAAACCGTTTTTTCATTGCTTTTGCATTTTATTTTACTTGGAGCATACATGCAAACCCACTCTTCAATATGTTTTATAATTTAAGTATACATAATCCTGACAATAATTATAGTAATCTTTAATAATAATTAGTATCACATTCACATTCATTATGGACTACACATAAAATTTTATTTAAGTTTATGTCCGGTCCATAAAGTGCGATATTATAATTTGGTCATGAATATTAATCATTTTTTTAAATTATGAGAATCGATTTGATTTTCTGACTTAACTGCATATAAGTTTATGTGTGGTCCATAAAAAAGCGATATCATAATTTGCATCCGAATATTAATCGGTTTTTCAAATTATGACAATCGATTTGGTTTTCTGACTTAACTTCATATAAATTTATGTGTGGTCGATAAAAAGCGATATCATAATTTGTCTCTCAATATTAATCGGTTTCTATATGACAATCGATTTGGTTTTCTGACTTAGGCTTAACTTCACGTTGGCCACCAGTAAGCACAAAGTAATGTCCTTTCTTTGCCGTCAGTTCCTGGTGCGTGCCCGCTTCGATGATCTTACCGTCTTCTACTACGGCTATCTTATCTGCATTTTGTATTGTTGATAGACGATGCGCAATCACGATACACGTGCGACCATCCATGGCACGATCCAATGCTGTCTGCACGATCTGTAATAAACAATGGAAAACATTGCACAGCGGGAACCAACACGTAATACATAAACAGGATCTGAGATTATTGTAAGGTGTCACATTTTGTATCTGAGTATGCATCAATATGAATATTACTATTTTTATCATCACTCCATCAATAATATCATCGTCATCATCATCAAAATCATTGTCGTCGTCATCATTATATAAAATAAAAAATAAATTATATTATTGTTTGTGTTATCTTTATCGCTTTCGTCGTCGTCGTCGTCCTCATCATCATCACCACCACCACCACCATCATCATCATCTTCAATATTATTAATATTAGGTCATCAATGTGACACAATCAATTTATTAAGAATAAAATCAATTAAGAAATTTGCAATTTGGCTTGTTTCTACATAACTTTTTAAACACCAATTAAAAAAAATATATATAAGATATTTATATATCCTGTATAAGTAAAAATATTTACCTTTTCACTTTCCGAATCTAAAGCCGATGTAGCCTCGTCCAGCAATATGATTCGAGGGTTTCTGGCAAGTGCTCTAGCTATTGCAACTCGCTGCTTCTGTCCACCCGACAGCTGAGTGCCCTTTTCTCCCACAGATGTTCCGTATCCCTAAATAATATGAGCGTTTTAGTCAAAATCTATTTATACACGAACCCCATTGAAAAAATTGAACGTTTGTTGATTTTATGAGTCGTCCATGCATCCATTCTCTGTTTAAACCGGCAATTTTCTCTATATTTTGTATGTCAATGTTATTTTATGTTGTATCATACTTGAATGGATGCTAACTAAAGTAAAGTAAAATATAGAATACTAATTATATAGATAAATAATCAAAGAGGAATGGGATAGTCCTACAACGTGTTCTTGAATAAACTTCATAAATAAAACATTAATCAAGGAGGCCTACTTAAAATCAAGCGTACAATATTACAGTATTTTATCCGCAATGTGTTAGTGTGTTATTATGCAAAAAAACATTTAATATGAGTACCTGAGGTAGTGAGATGATAAAGTCGTGTATGTTGGCCATCTTGGCCACTTCCTCTACCTGGCTATCCGTTAGGGGCGTGTCGACAGAATACCCGATGTTCTCTTTGATAGTTCTATCAAATAAGACAGGTTCTTGGCTTACGATACTCATTTGCGATCTTAACCATTTAATGTTGTATTCTTTAGTCTCACTACCATCTAACAACTGAAAAAAACCAAAACAATGTGGTAATGGTGTCAGAATAATTATGTATGTATTGATTATGTACTTGTTAATGATTAGCATAATCATTATCATTATTATTAATGAAAACCGATGCATTTTTTCAATCATTATAATTATTATCATTCTTAGTTTTGGTTAATATCATCATCATCAATATCATTATAAATATTATAAAAGACACTACCTAATGCTGTAATCGTAGTGGGCTGCTACACAATGTATGTTTTGTGATCGATTGATTATTTATAATTGAATTCGAGCAGAACATAGTATTTTTATAGAATTTTCATTGAGGAAAGATGCTTGTCTGTATATGAATTTTTGTCTTGCAGATATATTTTTAATGGCTGTGCACTCTTAACAATGTTTACACATGATAGAGACTGATCGAGTTCTATTCCCAAGTAATTTATCGAAGGGGATTCTTTATTTGCCACTCCATTGCAACTAACTGAAAATTCGGTGGCATTTTTCAGTCTAATATTTGTCTCAAAAAGGATTGCCTCTTGCCAAGGTGAATAGATAACTTTTGTCAATGAGCCACTGACTGCAAGATTCTAATTCTTTACTTAGACTTCTTGCCAATATGGTTGGGACTTTACCTGACACCATTAGAACTCTGTCGCCGGCATATAAGCTTACAATTTCAACTAATCGGCACATCATTAACGTAACAGAGGAACAAAAGTGGGCGCATACTTCCCTGTGAGACACCGTATGTTGGATTGGATTGGATTTATGTGGTGTAAAAAACAAGGATAGCTCACGAAAGTCTAAAGACTTCCAGTGGAGTCCTTCTGGTGGTGATTGGGCAGTACACTGGGAGACATTCCCCTACTACTAAATTAATAGTACCAAATTGGGAAATTTTTCCATGGCATTTCAAATTGATTGATTCATTCATTGATTCCTTCATTATTCGATTAAATAAATAATACAATAATTAATTAATTTATTAATTAATTAATCTTACCACTTGACCTTCAGCTGGATCATAAAAGCGTTCCAATATTGACACCAAAGTACTTTTACCACAGCCACTTTCGCCAACTAATGCCACCGTACACCCCGGTTCAATAGTCAGATCCAACCCTTTTAATATCTTCGTGTCGGGTCTCGAAGGGTAGGTAAAATGGATGCCTTTATATTCGATTATCCCTTCCATTTTCGCCTGCGACGTAAAACAATATAACAATATTATAAGAAAATAAGATATAAATCCAACCCAACTACATGATGCCTTAAAATAGTTATATGATTTGATTGTTGGTGTTCGAACTTTTGGATTTGTTAAATAATAATTTAAAATAATTAATCAAATTAAATGATATTGAAAGAATTATGATCATACAGGTTTTAAGCCGGCATTGGAGTAACTGTCGATAGAGGGCACTGTGTTGAAAAGCTTGATGAGAAGAGCTGTGGAGTATTTTGCTTTCGTATAGTCCGGTATGAAAGCTGACGACTGACCAAGTGATATACCAGCAAATGAAATGCCAAAGAAAACCCTAAAAGAAAAATGTAAATAGTAATATAAGCTCAAACAAAATGTGAAAAGCTATAAATCACTCGATATTATAACACACCTAAATAGATCTAAATTTGGATTGGTTAAAAAAGCGCTGGTACGTTCCATTTGGAAAAAGAGTAGATTTTTTTTCAGAAAATATCAAATTACAAGAATCTCCATTAAGAAAAAAGGTTGATTTTTAAAATAAAATATTAAATGACAAGAATCTATTTAAGGTGTGTTATCAAACAAATAATGAATGATTTTTTTTATTCGTGCATTGGAATGAATATTTGTATTCGTTAAAAAATTGACTGTTTCATATGTTTCATTGATTCACCTCGTCGATTGTAACTGTCAGTTGCATTCATAAACATTCATTATTTGTATTAACAAACGATGTCCCTCAGGAAACCACCGACACATTGTGCTTGATATTAACACTACGGAAAGCTCAGGTCCATAGAACAAAATCCAAAAAACCCAACAAAATATAAACCAAGGTTCTACAAATCGAAACAACTGAACAAATAAGTAAATTATATTTATACAATTATACACTTTAGAATTGACATTCTGAATAAAGTTCAGAAATAAATGTATTCACATGAGGAAATAAAAACGCAAGAAAAACCCTTGAAGTATAAAGGCCTATTGTTCTAGACAAATATAAACATTTCTATATAGCCCTATAAGTCATACTTGTGCATATTTGCTTGTACTGTATATTCAAATTACACTTCCTAGCTCCACTAAATATAACAATATGTTACACTATATTACTTAAAAACAAACTGTTTTTATTTAAATTCAAGTATTGAATTTTATGCTGCAAGTTTATTAGCTTAAAACATAATTTAAATTATAAAACAGTGGCTTACTTAAAGACTTCATCTGGCATCATCTCACCCTTTGCAACAAGGTGTCCACCGAATCGGAAAGCAGCCGCATATATGAAGAACATAATACCTTGCGAGAACGAAAACGACAATCCATACAGCGTCGAATTCCTTTTGCTTATTCTATAACAATTAAAATGTAATTTATAGTTATTGGCACAAGGGTAACGGTTTTTGAAAAACAACAGCGATGTTTAAGTTTGTAAGCCACTTCGGCTCTTAATTGAATAATAATATATCGTACTTAAAATGTACTCAATATAAATATTGTATTCAATTAAGATATCCTGGACACGGATGAAATATTTATAGTGAGTACATTACATCGTACGTTATATTATTATTCAATTAACAGAAATGGCTTACACAAAATACTTCAATAACCATAATACAGTAAGTCGTATATGGCCTTAACAGTGAATAGGTAGATGCAAGCAACAGATGCAATATATTTAATCGATTATTATTATTGTTTTATTTTTATTAATTATATACAAATTCATTATTATTACTTTTTATTGTTAAATTATTGTTATTAAAATATTATTATTGTTGTTGTTATGCTGCATATTGTTAGGTAAAGGCTGGCGTTATTACAATAACTCAATTTACTAGAACAATTCTTATACAGTATTTGTTTATTTACATTTTTGTAAACTTTGAATGATACAGACAGATAATTATTAAATAAAAAGTTGATTGACACTTGAATTTCATGTTGATTTTTAATGTAGAATATAACAGTGTGTGGTGATGATTGTTAATTGCAGTACAGTATAATACTGTTTAGAAAACAATTTAATTAAACAATATAGAAATGCCAAAATCCTCTGATT